GCTGCCCCTTCCTGCCCTCCCTAGACGGACACAGGGCTAATGCCCCCACATCTGGAAAGCATTTCACAGTCTGGGCAAAGGACAGAGGACAGGAAGTGTTGGGTCCAGGGGTCTGAGACATTCACTGATCAAGTTGATCCCATCCAGTGGACTCAGTCTTTGTCTGAAATGTGAGGGGCCCATGACAAGGTGTCTCTGAGTCCGTGCTAATCTTCCCTCAAAGAGTGCTTTGAAAAATTCTGCTTCCTAATTAACTGGTACCTTCTTTCTTAGAATTGCTGGAGCTCACATGATAACTTCATAATATCCCTGTCCGTTGTCACACCCAGAGACATTTCTCTGCTGAGACCTTGGGAAAAGGTAAGCAGGACAATGTGAATATGAAATGGATTCCCTCTAGACTTTATAACAAGGCAGACCTAGTAATAATTAGATGATTAAGGGTGCAGTCTTCCTCAATGAACCAGGGTGCATGCTTTGTTTTATGGTTGGACTAATGTGTGTCCTTAAACGTTCCATGTAACCAGAACCCCATTTATCTACAGCTGCTCAACATTCTGACTCGGGAAGGACCTGGTGTGTGGGGTCCCCTGGAGGGGGAGCCTCCATGTTCAGAGAGTGTTGGCTGTGCACTGAGGCTGTGAGTTGAGGGGTCAGTGGGAACCCACCATGGGGAGTATGACCGTCCCCACATTAACAATAGAACTATCACACGACTCAGCGGTTTTACATGCAGGTCACGTTGGAAGGAATTAAAAAGACCATCTAAGGATATTTGCACGATGATGGTCTCAGTAGCAAAGTGCATAACAGCCAAGAAGAGAAAAACACGAGTCTATAGATGGATGAAAAGATTAACCACATGTGATACATATATGCAATGGAATAGCCTTAAAATGGAAGGAAATCTTATCCATGTTACCCTGTGGACATGAACCTAAGGGCAGTCAAGCAGTCACAAAGAGACAAACACTGAATGAGCCCACTTGTATGAGGTATGTCAAGTACTCAAGTTCATAGCAACAGAGTGGAGAATGGTGGTCACCTGTGCGTGTGGGAAAAGGGAAAAGGATTCTCACGTAATGGGTATAGAGTTTTTGGTTTGCAAGATGAGAAGGTGTTGCGGCTCTGTTGCACTCACGGTGAGTATACAATCACCACTGCACTGTGGAATACAGTTACGGAGGTGAATTTCATGTCCTGTGTTAGTTACACAGTTTCACAAAGACAATGACCACACACACTAACGTGGGAGAGGATGGAGTGGAACTGGATCTCTCACACATGGCAGGGAGAAATGTGCAGAGATGTAGCCACTCTGAGAAACAGGTTTCAGGGTTGGAAAAATGAAGGTATACATACCACGCAATCCACACTTATGCTCCTGGGCATTAAACTCACAGAGATGAAAACTTATGTTCACCCCCAATCCTGAACACAGTTGTTCTTGTAATAGACACGTGGTTTATTTCTAACACCGAAACTACAACACAACACTAATGTCCCTCAGGAGAAAATGCACAGCAGAGCGTCATGCACCCACAGGAGGAGACTCACTGGACAATAAGAAGGATGGAGCTACTGATGCAGGGGACAATAGGAGAGATTCGGAGAGTAATGCCCAGTGATTGAAGCTGATGGCAAAGATTAGGTGCTGCATAATTAGATGACTATGTAACATTCTTGAAAAGGCGAAATGACAGAGATGGAACAGAGAACCGTGGCAGTGGGGTGGGTGTGGGCAGGAAGAGGCAGCAGGAGGGAAACCTTCCTGGGGATGGCAGAGTCCTGTGTGTGGATGGAGGTGGTGGTCACAGCAGTGTACCTCATGGTGACAGGATGTGAGACTACAGCTGCACATCTCACAGTCACCGCCCTCCAATGGGACTGTGACTACAAAAGATGCACCACTGGGGAAGCAGAGGAAGGGTGGGCGGGACTTCTCTCTACTACCTTTATGATTTCCCATGAAGGAACGTTTATTTCAAAATAAAAACATAAATTTAAAAGAATGGTAATGTTTCCTGTGTTCAAGTTAACTTGCCTGAATTTCCCCACCTAGTGCTTTGCTGAGCTTGGATTTCACGCCTGATTATCCACCTTCACAATAACAATAGAGAACAGACAGGGAAGATATAAAAGGAAAACAAAATAAAGAAGAGAAATAGAGGAGAGTGGAAGGAGGGAGGAAACAGAGAAGGACAAGAGGAACAAGACAAAAGAGATGAGAGAAACAGCAGGGGAAAAAGGACAGGAAAGAAAGAGAAGAAAAGGGAGAGGGGAGAGATGAAAGGGAACAGAGAGAGACATGAGGGGAAGGGAAAGTTGGGGAAGAGAGAGGGGAGACTGAGAGAAAAAGAACAGACAGTAGAAAAGAAACAATAAACAGACAAGTGAGTAAAACGGAGAGTACAGAGTGAAGGCGAGCAGACATGAAGAGAGAGAAGAAAGAAAAGAGAGAGGAAGGGGAAGGCGGCACAGACACAGGGAAGGGGGACGGGAGTGGGGGGAGGGGAGGGATGAAACCCACAGGGTGCGGCCCAGTGTTTCATACACACAGCGCCAGCTGGGGACCTGAAGCAGGGAGCTGGGGGAGGTTGGGGAGTTCATTTCCCATTATTTAAAAACAGTTACTCTCTTTGTCTTCAAAGTCTTCAACATGAAACTCACTCTCAAAGATTCAGGGGTAAGAAGAGGGGGTTAATAACCTTTTAGTTCTTAATTACAGTTTCTCTTCCATGTTTCTATTTTGTTTATTTTGTTCTTTGGATTCAACTTATGAACTTCCCTCCAGCCCAGACAGCGGTGTAGGTAGATACACTTTGCCTCCACCCACAACCAGATGAAGGACAACAGCAAATTTAACAACAAAAAATGGCAGTAGTACCAGAAAAAGGAACTCTATGGAGGTCGTACAGGAAAGGAGTTAAAGAAGAACCATCATCCACACTAATAGCAGGGGTGGAGCTGGGCAACACGAGCTGACAGGACATCCTGCAAGGTCATAGTGGACTGGGGCAGGCTAGGCAGTGGGCGGTAGACTGGGTTTCCCACATTCGCATGTGGATAAGTCAGGAGGAAAAACTGGGGAGGAACACAAACTCTGAAAACCCAGGATCCCAGTGCAGAGGATATAAAGCTTCAAATACCCCTGACTGAAAACACCTGTGGGGGTTGCTGTGGTGGGAGTAACTCCCAGCCTCACAGGAGAGTTTGTTGGAGAGACCCACAGAGTTCTAGAATGTCCACACAACCACCCACCCAGGAATCAGCACCAGAAGGGCCCAATTTCCTTGTAGGTAGCAGGTAAAGTGACTCAAAGCCAGGAGGAACCAGAGCAAATGCCATTGTTCCTTCTCAGAACCCTCACCCCTGCAAATATCTAAAGCTTTATCCCTCACTACCTAACATGCCCCCTGAAACAAACAAAAAAAAAAATACGGCCCAAATGGAAAACAGATTAAAGTTCCAAAAATAGAACTAAGCAATGAAGACCAAGCCAACCTATCAGATGCAGAGTTTGAAACACTGCTGATCAGAATATTCACAGAAAAGATTGAGTTCAGTCACAAACTGAAGGAAGAAACAAAGGCTATCCAAAGTGAAACAAAGGACAATATACAGGGCACCAACAGTAAGGGGAAGGATACCAGGACTCCAATCAAGGGTTTGGAGTGGAACAAAGAACCATTCAACTGGGAAAGAATAAAGAAACAAGAATCAAAATAGGAGGAGAGGCTGAGGAACCTGAAGGACAACATTAAACATTCCAACATCCCAATCATAGGGGTGCCAGAAGGACAATTGGAAGAACAAGAAATAAAAAAACTTACATGAAAAAATAATGAAGGAGAATTTTTCCATTCTGGCAAAGAAAATAGACTTCCAGGAAATCCAGGAAGTACAGAGAGTCCAAAAGAAATGGGACCCAAGGAAGCACACACCAAGGCACATCACAATTACATTACCCAAGATTAAAGTGAAGGAGGGAATCTTAAAAGCAGCAAGAGAAAAGGAGACACTTACCACTTACCTATACAAAGGAGTTCCCATACGACTATCAGCTGATTTCTCAAAAGAAACCTTGCAGGAAAGAAGGAGATGGAAAGAAGTATTCCAAGTCATGAAAGGCGAGGACCTCCATGCAAGACTGCTCTATCTAGCAGAGCTATCATTTAGAATGGAAGGGCAGATAAAGTACTTCCCAGATAAAGTCAAATTAAAGGAGTTCATCATCACCAAGCCCTTATTACATGAAATGTTAAAGGGACCTATCTAAGAAAAAGATCAAAAATATAAACAGTAAAATGACAGCATATTCACCAACATCAACAACTGAGCCTAAAATGAAACAACAACAAAAACGAACTAAGTCAACAACTAGAAGGGGAACAGAATCACAGAAATGGAGATGACATGGACAGGTATGGGAGGAAGAAGGATGGAGGAAAAGTTACCGGGAATAAAAACCATAAATGGTAGGTACAAAAGTATAGACAGGGGAGGTTAAGAATAGTATAGAAAGTGGAAAAGCCAAAGAACTTACATGTATGACCCATGGACAAGAACAAAGAAGGGGGAGGAATAGTGGTGGGAAGGGGTGTGCAGGGCAGAGGGGCATAGAGGGGAGGAAAAAAGAACGGGATAACTGTAATGGTATAATAGACAAAGCGTATTTAAAATAAAATCAAATCAATAAGAGAAAACATTTTTACGATTTTAGGATTTTATAATGTTTCCAATATTACAAAACACCATCCATTACATACGTTATTATTTTATAGATTAAACCATGTGTAACAGTGTTATAATCTAAACATTACATGTAATGTCTGAAAAGGTTCATAAATAGACAATGCATTGATTTTACTTCCCATTAACTCAGCACAATGGGGACTCGATACATCCTTCCAAGCATTGGTGACCACGCGACTCTGGATGCATGAAATTAATCTTCTCGTGAAGACCAATGCTGAGGAGTGTTCATAGGATCATTTCATTTACTTTAATGAAAAAAAAATTCTGGTCCTACTACTATTGAAGAAATTCACTCTGGAAATTCTATTCTCATTTTTCATCAGGATGAAAGGACAGATGGTCGGGTAACATGAAGTAATAAAGATATTAATGTTCCCCAGTTGCCAATTCAGCTTACTTCCAAAGTGCGAATAAGCAGTAAGAAAGCTATCGGTCCAGTAAAAGAAAATGAAGCAGCAAACCAGTGTGAGAATGACCTGGGTGGCTTTGCGTTCAGGAGAGCTTCCTGAGCAGCGGGCGCTGCTGCGGATGCTCTGAGCTGTCCTGTGGTGTTTGGTAAGGACAGTCACCATGTAGATACTACTGCATGCCATCAGGGAGAGAACCAATGAGTCCTGAATGATCATGCTACTGTGAACTGCCATGGCCACCTGGTGATCAGGCACCCTGACCTTACAAAAAGGTCTATAATACCAAGATGTAACATCACTGGTATTCCTAATGGCCTCAATTTTTAAGATAATCTCAGAATACATGACCATGTTGATGATCCAGCAGAAAAACATGGAGGGTTGAATGAATGTGGAGATGTTATTCTTGAGCCAGGCCCATTTACAACTACTTATAGCAATGGTCACGGCCTGGAACGAGCTCTGGAGGGAGGTGGTGTACAGAGAAATACCCCGGGTAACTCTATGAATGTAGAGAACAAGTTTACACTCAGTGTCACTTATCTTAGGCCTCATTCCAAAGGAACGAACTATATTTGGAACCCCTCTGAATAGGATGGTCAGGCTGTTAGCCAAAGTTAAGTGGGCAAGGATCCCATCAGCAGGCTTCTTCTTATGGGGGAGAGCGAAGAAGGTGTACATGTATAAAGTAAACAGCAAGCAGTTCCCCAGGAAGCCAGCTCCAGTTTGAATGGTGAGGAAGACCCCAAACGTGGTGTCTCTCGAAATCATGGAATGGCGGTCTCTCCGAGATGTTCCAGCCATGGACAGCACATCCTGGAGACAAATAATTTGACTATGAATGTAAGTGTTTAAAAACAATTAAGACTGAGAAGCAGTTTGTCAAGTTTCAGGGATAAATAAATGTAGAGGGAATGTAATAACAAGCCCTATGGAGAAGAAAATTCTGGCATGCAGAGTGGATTAGGGTTTGCAAGTGAATTTAGACTTAAAGTGAATAGACTTGAGCATAAAAAAAGGAAAACCAGGAAGAAAGAAGAACAACATTTACACTTCTGAAAGTATGCTTCAGTAGCAAAAATCTTCGAGACAGCAGAAATACTGTAAACAGCAGCAAAAAGGACCAACACATGCCACAGGAGCAGAAAAATAGAACAATGAAGAAAGTGACATATAATTATTGGTCAGGTAAAGGGTTAAATGTGCACCTGAAAGACATGAAACACTGTCAGGTACTTAAACGAGGCCCTGAGAACAAGTGAATAAAAACCGAACAGAATGTGCAGCCAACACAGAGAAGCCAGGACTGGAAACAGATGCCTGTAGAGACGAGAGCCCTTAGGTGGGGACCAGCCACGGGGGGCTGGTCAGGGAGAGAGTCCGGGGCAGATCAGGGCATCGCCACATAATGTATTCCAGCCCGTTGTCCAGTGTGTGTGAGGAACATAATGAACTCACGAAAAGTGTCTCAGTTCTATGCTGGGCAAGGTTTTGAAATCCATGTCAAGAAGAAAACTGAAAATAACCATGAACACAAAGCAGAAAATTAAAAAGGAGAAAAAACACAAAAAAGGGAAATTAGTCAGTAAAGAAAGGAAAAAAGTGAACAAGAAATTCTAAAAGCTGGTATTTAAAAGAAGCCTGATTGTGCACAAAAGTGAATAGAAAGCAGCAAGCTGAAACAGAGGCCACACAGAAGTAAGACTGAGTTCACCTGTGGAATGACGAGAATCAAGCGAGGAACAGAAATTCTGGGAAACACTCACCATCTCTTGCCAGCCCGAGCCGCCAGTCACACTGGCATCCTCACCACAGCCTGTCTCCTCAGCAGGTCCCTGCAGGGGGGCTGCTCTCAGCTGTGCTGCTGGGCAGCAGCAGGATCGGGGTTATGAGGAGGGGCCCAGTGACCTCATCTCCCTCTGGGCATGAGACACTTTGTTGTCCAAGCTGCAAATTGCCTGGTGCACAGGGACTCAGCCTGGCATGTCCACAGGACCTAAGCTGCTGTCCCCAGTGCAGTGTGTCCCCTGTTAAGTGATTAGGATCATCAGTTACAAGTTGCAGTCTGCTCCTGAGCTGACACCTGGCCTCTAGTGGAACTAAGACCTGAATTACTCCTCAGGGTCCCAGAACAATGACGGGAAGCTCATCAGAAGTTTGCAGTCCCTGCTCACAGGGAGGATTTCCAGTGTGACACTGGCCACAGGGCAGCAGCATGAGTGGGTGCCCACTGGCTGCTCGGGGCTGAAGTTCAGGTTTCTTTTTTTTTTTATTTTTAAATATATTTTTTGATTATGCCATTACCGTTATCCCTTTCCCCCCCTTAATTTCCCTTCACCCTGCATACCCCTCCCCCACCATTCCCTTCTTTAGTTCGTGAACACATGTCTCAAGTTCTTAAGATTCTATATTTCCCCTACTATTCTTACCCTCCACCCTATCCATTTTTTATCTACTGTCTATGCTACCTATTTTCTGTACCTTCCTTCCCCTTCTCCTTCTCCTACTCCCCTCTTGCTAACCTTCCACATGATCTTCACTTCTATGGTTCACTCCTGATCTAGCTGTCCTCTTAATTTGCTTTTGTTTTAGGTATAGTTGTTAATAACTGTGAGTTTGCTGTCCTTTCACTGTTTATCTTTTTTATCTTCTTTTTCTTAGGTAAGTTCCTTAAACATTTCATATAATAAGGGCTTGGTGATGATGAACTCCTTGAATTTGATCTTATCTGAGAAGCACTTTATCTGTCCTTCCATTCTAAATGAAAGCTTTGCTGCATAGAGCAATCTTCGATGTAGGTCTTTGGTTTTTGTGACTTGGAATACCTCTTTCCAGACCCTTCTTGCCTGTAAGGTCTCTTTTGAGAAATCAGCTGACAGTCTGATGGGAACTCCTTTGTAGGTGACTGTCCCCTTATCTCTTTCTGCTTCTAAGATTCTCTCCTTTATTTTCATCTTTGCTAATATAATTATGATGTGCCTTGATGTGTTCCTTCTTGGGTCCAAGTTCTTTGGGACTCTCCGACCTTCTTGGATTTCCTGGAAGTCTATTTCCTTTGCCAGAATGGGGAAGTTCTTCTTTATTATTTGTTCAAATAAGTGTTCCACCTGTTACTGTTCCTTTTACCCTTCTGGTATCCATATAATTCACATGTTGGACCGTTTTAAAATGTCCTCGAAGTTCCTAAGCCTTTCCTAATTTTTTTTGAATTCTTGTTTCTTCATTCTTTTCTGTTTGGTCATTTTTTCCTTCCTTCTGGTCTTCTCCCTTAATTTGAGTCCCAGTTTCCTTTCCATTAGTATTGGTTTCCTCTGCATTTTCCTTCATTTTAATTAGATTAGCCTTCATATGTTCCTCTAATTTGTGACTAAAATCAACTAGTTCTGTGAGCATCCTGATCACCAGTGTTTTGAACTGTGCATCTGAAAGTTTTGCTATCCCTTCATCACTTAGATTTATCGGCTCTGGGGCTCTGAGTTTTTCTTGAGCCATGTTTTGATCTGTTCGTGCCTGTTACGGATGAGGAGAGGTGACTTAAGTATTCACCAGGGCGGGGCCACCCAGGTCCCTGGTTTGTGACACTGTATTTGGGGGCGGGGTCAGAGGGAGCAATGGCGGTCCTCTCTGCTGGCCTTTCCACCTCACTCCTTGCCCCCGCCTATTTACCTGAGCACAAATGTGCAAGTCCACCACCCTGCGCCGGGGCCTGCATGGTCTGTCTCAATGCACGTCTCTTCACTGGTTTATCTGCGAGCAAATGCGCAACCTCAGACAGCCAGCTGCGCCCCGAGCTTTCCAGTAGTTACCCCAAACCTGGGATCTGCACCCTAGGCTGTTTGCGTGCCGTTGGGGTCTGGAAATTGTTTTTGCCTGATCACTCTGCTGCTGGCTTCGCCCCTCTCACCCGATTAGCTGAGCTGCTTGTTATTTTTGGACTCCATATTGTTTGATTTTTTTGTGGTTTGGTTGTGTTTATTGTGTTAAAACTTTATTGTTTTTAGATTTGGTTGTGCAAGGAAGCAAAGTGTTTCTACCTATGCCTCCATCTTGGCGGAAATCCCTGGATTCTCAAGTTCAGGTTTCTGAGATGTTCATGCAGGACAAACACATTGAATCGTCTTCTGCTGTGACAAAAGCTGAGGTTTTATTTGAATTCCCAATAAGTATTCAATGATGTCACTCCAACAACTTTAAACAACAGGAGAAATTACCATTCTTTTAAATTGAACCTCTCACTTTGAAATATTTGTCCATTCACAGGAAATCATAAAGGTAGTAGAGAGAAGTCCCACCCACACTTCCTCTGCTTCCCCAGTGGTGCATCTTTTGTAGTCACAGTCCCATTGGAGGGCGGTGACTGTGAGATGTGCAGCTGTAGTCTCACATCCTGTCACCATGAGGTACACTGCTGTGACCACCACCTCCATCCACACACAGGACTCTGCCATCCCCAGGAAGCTTTCCCTCCTGCTGCCTCTTCCTGCCCACACCCACCCCACTGCCACGGTTCTCTGTTCCATCTCTTTCATTTTGCCTTTTCAAGAATGTTACATAGTCATATGTTTATGCAGCACCTAATCTTTGCCATCAGCTTCAATCACTGGGCATTACTCTTCGAATCTCTCCTATTGTCCCTGTATCAGTAGCTCCATCCTTCTTATTGTCCAGGGAGTCTCCTCCTGCAGGTGCATCATCCTTTGCTGAGCATTCCCTCCTGAAGGACATCAGCATTGTCTTGTAGTTTGGGGTTAGAAATGAACCAGTATGCATATCACAAGAACAACTGTGTTCAGGATTGGGGGTGAACATAAGTTTTCATCTCTCTGAGATCAATGCCCAGGAGCATGAGGGTGGATTGCATGGTATGTATACATTCCATTTTTCCAACCCTGAAACCTGTTTCCCAGAGTGGCTACACCTCTGCACATTTTTCCCAGCCATGTGTGAGAGATCCAGTTCCTCTCCATCCGCCCCGACGTTTAGTGTGTGTGGTCATTGTTTTTGTGAAACTGTGTAACTAACACAGGACATGAAATTCACCACCTTAACTGTAAGTCACAGTGCAGTGGTGATTGTATACTCACTGTGATGTGCAACAGAGCCGCCACACCTTTTCATCTTGCAAACCGAAAACTCTATACCCATTAAACAACAATCCTTTTCCCTTTTTCCTTTTCCCCCACGCACAGGTGACCACCATTCTCCTCTCTGCTGCTATGAACTTGACTACTTGACATACCTCATACAAGTGGACTCATTCAGTGTTTGTCTCTTTGTGACTGCTTGACTGCCCTTAGGTTCATGTCCACAGTGTAACAGGGGCTAGGGTTTCTTTCCATTTTAAGGCTGTTCTGCTGTATGTATGTATCACATACGGTTTATCTTTTCATCCATCTACAGACTCTTATTTTTCCACTTTTTGGCTGTTATGCATTGTGCTACTATGAAGAGCATTGTGCAAACATCCCTTCAACATTCCTTCCAACAGGACCTGAAAGCGAAACCGCTGAGTCGTATGGTAGTTCTATTTTTAATGTGGGGACGGTCATACTCCCCATGGTGGGTGCCCACTGACCTCTCAACTCACAGCCTCAGTGCACAGCCAACACTGTCTGAACATGGAGGCTCCCCCTCCAGGGGACCCCACACACCAGGTCCTTCCCGAGTCAGAATGTTGCGCAGCTGTAGATAAATTGGGGTTCTGGTTACATGGAAGGCAGAAGGACACACATTAGTCCAACCATAAAACAAAGCATGCACCCTGGTTCATTGGAAGACTGCATCCTTAATTATCTAATTATTAC